CTGTCTGTGTGCCTGTCTGTTTGTGCACCTATCTCTGTCTGCCTGTCTCTCTGCCTGTCTGTGTGCCTGTCTCTCTGTCTGTATGTTTCTGCACCTGTCTGCCTGTCTGTCTGCCTGTTTGTGCACCTATCTCTCTGTGTGCCTGTCTCTCTGCCTGTATGTTTGTGCACCTGTCTGCCTGCCTGTTTGTGCACCTGTCTCTCTGTCTGCCTGTCTCCCTGCCTGTCTCTGACCTCCGTGCCCCGATCTCGCCCTCCCAGGTGGAGTACGACGGACTGACAGGGCGGGTGGAATTCAACAGCAAAGGCCAGAGGATCAACTACACTCTCCGCATCCTGGAGAAGCACCGCAGGGGTCACAAAGAGGTCAGCCTGGGGTCAGGGGTCATGCCCAAGTGGGGGTGGTTTGAGGAGGGGGGGGGGTGTTAAAAAGTCAAGCATTTTCGGGCTCAAAGAGGATAAGGCTCCGAAATCCTGTCTCTGTCTGCCTGAACAAACGCCTCTCCCTCTCCTGTGTGTCTCTCAGATCGGTATCTGGTTCTCTAACAACACCCTGGTGATGAACTCCACCTCTCTGGACATCAACGTGTCCGAGACCCTGGCCAACAAGACGCTCACAGTCACCACCATACTGGTAAGGGCAATGTGTGCCTGTTGGCGGGGGGCCGCCATGTTGGTGAGGTCAGGCTGCACTCTCTGCCGCTGTGTGACGCCGCTGTGTCGCGCTGCTGTGTGTCTGCGCAGGAGGACCCCTACGTGATGCGGAAGACGAACTACCAGGAGTTCGCGGGCAATGACCAGTACGAGGGCTTCTGCGTGGACATGCTGAAGGAGCTGGCCGACATCCTCAAGTTCTCCTACAGCATCAAGCTGGTGGACGACGGTCTGTACGGCGCCCCTGAGCCCAACGGCTCCTGGACGGGCATGGTGGGGGAGCTCATCAACAGGGTAATCAGCCTGACGGCCTCGTTAACCCTTCCTCCGACTCTGCGAGAAGCAGGTCCCCTGACTGGTCTAACCCACACTCCTCCTCACCAGGGCCTGTGTGCGAATACCCTGGGCTCTCGTGCTGGCTTCATTTCCATCTTTTACTCTTCGCTGTGTGCAGCGTGCTAGGGGCTGGAAAGGCATTATGATGATGATGATGATGATGATGATGATGAATCGTTCTGCGTTCTACAGCTGGCAGAGCTCAGAACAGTCCGGGAGCTCACGAACAGGACGCACTGTAGGGGTGCTGTAGTACTGGGGTGGGGGACCCCGTTATCGGGGCTCTGAGACCGGGGGGCGTGGCGAGGAGCTGGTGCACCACACTGTCGCTGCAGCGCAGAGCCCTGTTTGCAGAGAGCCGTCCGGGGATCCATTGGCAGTCATTAGCACGCTGGTTAATTAGACAGTGCGTGTTAATTAATGGAGTGTCAGGCCTCTGGGAGGTCGTCAGGGAGAGCAGTGTGACTGTTGAACAGAGGCGCAGCAGTAACCTCATCTCTCCTCCTCTCCCTCTCTCCTCCTCCTCCTCTCCCTCTCTCACCCTCTTCCACTCCTTCTACTCTTCCTCGCCCTCTCTCACCCTCTTCCACTCCTCCTCCTCCTCTCCCTCTCTCACCCTCTTCCTCTCCTTCTCATACTCTCCCTCTCTCACCTCCTCTCCCTCTCTCTCTGCTCCTCCTCTCCCTCTCTCCCCTCCTCTTCCTCTCTCTCTCCTCCTTCTCTCCCTCTCTCACCTCCTCTCCCTCTCCCTCTCTCCTCCTCTTCCTCTCTCTCTCCTCCTCCTCTCCCTCCCCCTCAGAAAGCAGACCTGGCAGTTGCCGGCTTCACCATCACTGCCGAGCGAGAGAAGGTGATCGACTTCTCCAAGCCCTTCATGACCCTGGGGATCAGCATCCTGTACCGAGTGCACCTGGTGAGGGGGGTCAGGGAGAGGGGAAGAGAGCGAGGGCGGAGAAGGGAGATTAGATCGAATACCAGCCACGCTTTGCAGCTCA